GTCAGCATCCTCAATTTACCTAAACTCTAAAAAAAAAAAAAAAAAAAAAAAGATGCTTGGAAGATTTATCCACAGCCAGGACCACTATCAAAACAGGGAGGCCTCCAGGGAGAGATAAAGCTCCTGGGGAAACTAATTTTCTGCCATTAAACGTAAAAAATTATTCCAGAACCTAGGATCCTGAGGGCTAACTCAGAACACCCCAAAAGGCTTAGCATCTTGGAGAAACTTTGACATCTTCCCCAGAGGGCTTCCTAGGGGGAAATGCTCCCTGGAACTAGGCTCAATGTAAGGGAAGTACATTCTCCTGAAGAAGAGGCCCAAATTGGGCCCTGAAGCTCTTCACAGTGAATTTTGAGACTCATCAGGAAAGAAGAGCTTGTATACCTGCACAGAGATGCTGGGAAGAGATAGAGTTGGAACTGTGGCTGACAGGGTTCCGGGCGGTACATGTGTAATTCAGCTCTTGGTTCTCAGGGGTCTGGATGAGTTGGAGGACATTGCCCTCTGTTTCCAGGGAACTCCACCTGTATGTCACATTCCTTTCATCTTTGTCCGCAGAGCACGTCAGTGTCACGTTACAGGTACCATTCACAAATAGTATTATACTCTTTGTAATTTTTGGTTTCCCAAGTCGACCTACAAAAGAAAAACAAATGAAGCCACAGTAAGCTTACATCAGCTTTTGAGAACCAGTTGCTGAAATTTCAGAAATCTTGTAAAATGGTTGTTAAATATAGGCAGCAAATTATAAAAACATACAATTAAATAAATTAATTAAAATGAGGATTAAAGCAGGCATGGTGGCACATGCCAATAATCACAGTACACAGAAGGCTGAGGTGGGAGGATCACTGTGAGTTTGTGGCCAGTTAGGCTACATGGTGATTTCTTTTTTTAAATTTTTTTTTTACTATTTATTTATTTTTTCATAATTCTACTGATAAACAGCAATGAGACAGTTTCAAATCAAATTGCTAGGACAGTTTCAATAACTAACACACTGCATACATTCTTCTTAGTGGTTAATTGCTGTACAAGATGCGGACTTGATATCCTATTTACAAACACCATTAGAACATATCATTCTATTCATTAACAGAATGTAACTATATATCTATCCTAACCACTTTGAATACACAGATATAAAATGGACATTCATCTGTATACCCTTTTTTTGTTAAGTTCCGTTATTTGAATATTATAGGTGTGTAAACTCAGCAAAATATTCTAAAAGAGTCCAGTAGCCCATAATAGCATTGGGTCTTCTGTTTAACTGGCAATGTCAGAAATTGTTGACCTGAGTCCCCCACAGCTCAACATAACAGCATGGCTTTCCTTCCTATATTTCATCTTCATACTTTTCTACTGGATGGTTAAGACCAAGGTAAAGCAGGACCTATGCAACAAGAATTGTAGCTTTTGGGTCTGAAAAGGTCAGTGAAATCTCCTCAGGATTTATCTTGAGATCCTGTACCTCAGATTGTAGAACCTTTGTCAGTGTCAGCCATGTGGATGAGTCACGGCCATTGCTTGGCCAATGTGCTCTCTGTGAAAGCCTGAGAGAGTGTTTTCTCTCCATGTGACTCTCCTTAGGCACACTCTACATCATCGATCACTTTCCTCTTTGGCCCCATAATCTCCTTGATCAGAAAATTTGGGACACTACTGAGTTACATGACGTTACAGTACAAGTTCTCATCTGTCCTGAGTCTTAATTGACCTTAGAAGGTTAGGGTCAAAATGTTGGCTTTCCTTGCAGCCCTTCTTTTTCTCTAATTTTGGTCTGCAAACTTAGGTTTTTAACCATCCAGAAGACAAGCCTGTTGTTATTATCAAACAACTTAGGCTGTTAAGCAGCCTCACTGTCTGCATATCGAACATCTTAGACATACTATGGAACAGGTATTTTTCATCAAATATTGATATGTTGAACTTTATGTCCCTACAGAATATGATAAAAACATTTAAAAATTAGAATATATTTTAAAAATAAGCATAAAGAATTATATATTTCTCATGTTTTCACATAAGTCCAAAAATCTCATACATGGTGATTTCAAGGCGAGCTTGAACTACCCAGCAAGGAGGCCCAGTCACAAAAAAAAAAAAAAAAAAGGATTAAGGACAGCAATTTTTAGCAATTTCTCAAACTGTACTATTGCCTATGTTCTTGAGGTGATTTATATGTATTATATTTGTCCTTTGTAATGATGCACAAGTGGGAACATCCTTCCAGCTCTGCATGTCTTACTCTCAGCCATAGCATTGTATTTATATTAAAGAAATTGGCAAATGTCATGTTTGAGCTTGATTTACCTGTTGATTTTTGCTCTGACTCAGGAAAAAAGTTACCAATGGAGAAAAAAGTTACCAATGAGTATTAAACATAAAGTGTATCTGTAGTCATTACACTGTGAGCATCAAACAAAAAATTGAAAACCCTTTCAGTATCTTAAAACCATCATATACATATGCTTAATAATTTCTTTACATTATTGGTTAGAAATGAAGCTTGTACATGTACACCTTTGTTTAATCACTTTCTATTTGTTAATCAGTATTGATGTTGGAACTACACTCATTTGGCAATTGCAAACATAGGTTGGTTAGGTACATACATGTTAGCAGAAAGCAATGAAAACATTTTGTGAGAATGACTATACAGAATTTGCACTGACAACAGCTGCATATTTTATTATTATTTATTAAACCACTGTTAAACATCCTTCATGTCAGTAAAACTTATACTAAATATAAATCATATATACCCACCTAAAAAAGGACACACACATAAAGAAAACATCATCAGGTATTTGAACATTTACCAGCACACTATTGCATACAAAGAAATCTTTTAAAAAAATTTTGGTTCTGTTTTCTTGTGTGTTTATGTATATTTTTTTGTTTCATTTTATTTTGAATTAAATTGCTCAAAAAGCTATAGTCTCATTAGTAATCCGTTCAAATCTTTTTTCCTGCCTGGCAAGAAAAACAACATATTGACTCTTGCTACCCCCAATTTTTTTTTTCCTCAAACAAATCAAAAGGCAAAATATAGAAGTTGTAGAACTTTGCATTGCTGCACCATGGCATAGTTAAAATGCCAAGAGGACAAAGCAAAGAAAGACTACCGAAAACTGCAGGAGAGAAAAGCCAAGTCTCTCAATAAGGGCAAACTTATCAAAGAAACTGCAGACATTTCCCTAAAGAAACCCTAAAGACTGGGAGTGTGTGGAACAATGTATTGCAATCCCTGAAAGAAAATAAATACCAACCTACATTACTATATCCACCAAAGCTATTCTTCAAGTCAAAGGAGAAATTCATGACCACTAAGCACAGCACTGAAGAACATATTTAAAAGAATCCTACACAGAAAGAAAGACATAAGCTATTGATAATTTGGAAGGAATCAAACACTAGAAAAACAATATATTACAAGAATTAATGTGAACCCCTCTCTATATATCTGAATATAAATGGTCTTGGCTCTCCAATTAAAATATAAAGACTGATAGATGGGATTAAAAAACAAGAACCACTTCATTTTTAATTTTTACTTTAATTATTTATGTATTCATTTGTATTTAGTACAGGTTCTATGGGGTCTTACTATGTAGATCAGACTCGTAGTGATCTGCCTGTGTTCAGCCTCCCAAAAGCTGGGATTACAGGCATGTGCCACCACGCCCAGTTTCAATTGCCTCTCAGTGCACCCCAGGGGTGGGGCCCACATGGTACACTGGGGATAGAAGGAGACCCAATTCTTTGTTGCCTGCAAGAAACACATTTCAACAACAAGGAAGAAAAAAGAAAAAAAAAAGGTAGTAACTGAAAATGAGAATAAAAAGCAATATTCCATGCAAATAGAATCCAAAAGGAGGACAAGCTATACTCATATTGATAAACTTTGACAAAGTAAGTCATAATGACAATGAGGTTATTCCATATTTGTAAATGGAGGGCCAGCGAGATAGCTAAGTGGACTAAGCACCTGCTTAGGCAAGTGCAGGGGGGGTTCGATCTCTGGCACTACATGCTGTGCCAGCCCTGCCCCTAGGCATGCTAAGCCAGCCACTGAGTCCAGGCATGGTGGCGCACACCTGTAATCCCAGAACTGGGGAGGTTGAAAACACAAGGAGCATTATGAGTTTGAGCTGTGTAGAGAGATCCTGCGCCA